TCATTTACTCACCAGTCCCTTTCTATATGGCTAATTTCTATACAAACAAACTTTAAATCTATTAAGTATGTCTCTGTGTTTACATGCACCTAGAAGTAGAAATCATTAAAAATTTCAAAACATTATCACACTCTTTCAAGGTTAACACAATTTCTGTTAGTATGATAAAATGACTTTATGAATAAATATAAAGTATTAGTAGCTCATATTTTCATTAGCCTCTTTCTCCTGAAATTACAGCAAAATGAAATCGGCCTTGTTTTCTTCTTCTCTAGCACACGCTTTATTTATTCTTGGAGTGTTCAAGCTTTATGGGCTAGAACAATATTTCAGCTTATTTAATTAGATGAATGCAAAATGGTAAGGGGCACGATTTTCCAGAAATTTTTGAGATAGAAAGCAAAGTTTATTAATGGAAAGTCTAGGTGCTCTTTATTAAAAATAATATTTGCAACTAGATATCTCTATTAAAACTGCCTTAACTAACGTTCACTAGTACTTTTTTAAATTAAACTCAAATCATGTTCAGTCTTATCCTACTCTACCAAAGACTACTTTAAAATAAGGCACAGGCCTAATTACCACCCACAATTCTTATCCCCATCTTCTCTTATTCTCTCAACTCTTTCCCCTACAGAAAGCAAAGGGACTTCACCTTTTAATCCACCAAATGACATGGGGGAAAAAAGAAAAAAAAAAAAAAAGTCATTCCAAAAAAATCCCTTGAAGGTTTGTTCAGCAAATGTTTCCAAGTCGGATCATACAAGGAGACTAAGACCCTCATTCATTAAATGCAAAATGCTAACATTTTGATTCATTGCTAAATGTAAATAACTTTAGTGATCCCAGCTGGACTATTTAATATTAATTTAAAGTATTTTATAATATGTGCATGTATCTCTTCCCAAGGGGCAAAGTAGGAAGGTGAATAATTATCTAATAACTTCAATCAATGTACTTAGCAAAAACCTGGCAAGTCAGATCCCTCAACTCCCTATATTTAAATCTGGGGTAAATGTCTTAGCTCACATCATGACCTCAACTGGGGGTCCATTCAGTGATGTGTATCCCTCCTCTCTGTAACAATGGTGG